GCTAAGAAGGCATTTCAAGACCTGAAGATCGCATTTACTACGGCTCCAATCTTGGTACATCCAGACTTTACAAAGGCCTTTTATTTAGAAACTGATGCTTCGGATTTTGCTTTGGGAGTTGTACTTTCACAAATGGGAGAAGACAAGAAGCTCCATCTAGTTGCATTCTATTCTCGAAAGTTCTCTGCTGTTGAAATCAATTATGAGATCCACAATAAGGAACTTCTTGTTATAGTGGATTCTTTCTAAGAATGGCGTCATTTTCTTGAAGGAGCTGCACATCCAATGATCGTATATACAGATCACAAGAATTTGGAGTATTTCATGTTAGCTCGAGTTCTAAATCGACGTTAAGCTTGGTGGAGTTTGTTGCTATCTAGGTTCGATTTTGTTATCACTTATCGACCTGGAAAGCAACAAGGACTATCTGATGCCTTATAGAGGAGATCGTATCTTATACCAAAGGCTGGAGAAGCAGCATTTGATCAACAATGTACGACGTTGTTGAAGCCAGAGCAATTTCAACTTTGCGCTACTATTGTGCCAATTGATGTTGACTTCCTGAATCAGGTACGTGCCATGACCATTGAAGATTCAGTAGCCATTGATATCAAGCAGCGTGCCAATGACGACAAGTTCAAGGTGGAGGAAGATCTTTTATACTTTGAGGAGCGGTTGTATATCCCAAAAGGACAAAATCAAGAGAGAGCACTTCTTCATAAAAGTGCATCTATAAATCCTATTTAAGTAAATCCATTGAGATATTGAAAAAGATAGAAACTTAAATAAAGCTTAATTTATTGCAAAAATTCTTGAAATTTGATCTTGTTCCATCAAACTTCTTAGTCATACTAATTATTGTCTTCTTTATACTTATAGAAGTGACTTCTTGAATTTAGTTGTGAGGCTAATTGACTTGCTTTTTCTAAGTGTACAAATTCTTGGCATAAACTCTAGATTTCTTCCATATGTAAAGTAATAGTACCTCTATGATTTACATTAGAAATATGTGAGATTTCTACTTTTAAAATATTGACAAGCTTGTAAAGATATGCAATAGTTGTAAATCTATTATCATTTTTTTAAAGAATAGCATCTATAATATTTTTTTTTATAGATAATTCAAATATATTTATAAAGTTAAATTAAAGAAGGATAATTTGTAATCTCTAATATCAAATAAAAATATCCACAAAGAGAGATAATCCACTCTCTTTAATAAAAAAATCAATCTTAAAAAACTAAATTATTTATTTAAAGGTGGATAGTCTACAACCTTCAAAACTTAATAATAAAAGTAAAATAATCTTTTTACTTCTAAAAAAAGAGAAAAATAATAAATTAGCACTCTTATCAAATTTTTAAGGATATAAATCTTAAAAAAAGATATGCTTGATATACTCTTATTTTACTTGAAAAGATTAAAAAAATACTCAAAGTTGGTAATATATTGAATTTGAATAGCTATTGCCAAAGACAAGAAGACTAAAAAGTCTTAAAATAAGATTGATGACTAAAAAGATATTGCAAAATAGTGAAAAAGGCTTCATTCTTTCTTCCATATATAATCTCTAATTAAGAGCTACAAGGCAATCTTCTATAGGACCTCCAACATGTGTTGACTTTGTTAGACATATATTTTAACTTATAAGACAAGTTATCTATATGTATGCCACATAGTTAGCTTGTTCCACAAGCTACTAATACATGTAGTAAGTGGTTAACTTGTTGACCAAGTTTCTAACCTATCAATCAACTACAAACATATGTAAAGTCAAAACCACATCTATAAAGCTTTTAGGAAGCTTTTCTATACAATATTATGAAATTAATTTATATTTACCTATTTCTATCTAATCATGTAAGTAATTATCTGAATAAATGTGTATATTCATGACATAAAGAGGTAAGACAAGGAATACCTCAATCTTTCCTATACAAAGTTTTGATATATTTGGAATCTAAAATTTTAAAAAATTCTTTTTTGATATAATATTTTTTATTTTAATAATATGTTATGATTTATCATCTTATATTATTGTATTCTTTATATAATAAATTCATTCTAATTTTTTTAATTGAAAAGTTATTATTTTAATTCAAATGTTGATATTGCTTTATTACAATTTTATAGTATATCAAAGTGATTGAAATTAGTTGATAATACTCATATATTTGTGAATTTTAGAAATATTTTACTTTATTTATATTATTTATTTTTTATTATTTTCATTGTCACATTTTAAAATACTGTAAGAAATAATTAAGTATATAATTTGATTATATACTTATTATGTAGTATTGATAATTTTCAATCATATGCAATATGCATGTATATTATTTATTTATGGATCTTAAAGCTTTCTATAGATTGTTCAAAGAATTTTTTCATTATTTATTTATTTGTAGAAGTCAAGTTTATTTTATTAATTATTTATAAATTATCTCTTATTTATTAAAAAAACTTATATCATAGTAAATTTTATATATATACATATATATATATATATATATATATATATATATATATATTTATCTATAAGAATATTTAAAGACAAAATCATCAACAACAATTTATTTTTATTTTTATTTTTATTTTATATCAATAAAACATAGATGTTCATAGCCAAGACTATAATTAAAATTGGAACCATCAAAATATGTCTCATATAATTTTAGTCATAAATATATATATTTTTTTAGTTTAGTACTTATACCTTTTTACTTACTTTGTATTTTAGAAATTTGAAGCTATATCCAATAACATCTTAGTATTTTTTATTTATTTTTGGATGTTTATTATTTAATTTATGATTATTTTAAATATTTCTTTAAAAATACTTTATAGTATATTATTATCTTATACAAAAATTATTCTTCTTTTAGTTTTATTCAATTTATTTATTGATTTTTATGCTTAAAGAAAATATGTATATATCTATCTATATATATATATATATTATTAAATAAATTTTATGATATTTTTTGTAATTTTTAATTTTAATTTTTTTCAAATAATTTAATAACACATCTAATATATAAAATATATATGATATATATATATATAGATTGTAGTTTCAACATACTTTATATTCTTCTTGATAACAAAATTCTTACTTTTCTTTAGGTCAAAATTTAATCTTGATTAGAGTTTAAAGAATAAAATAGATCAATTTGAGTTTATATGCACTAGTTTAAATCTTCTACAATAAAATAATATATAAAATAGATATAATTTTTTTTGAAATAATCATATACCTTATATTGAATATAATTCTTTGTAAATCTTTAACTAACTAAGTGCAATACATCTAAATGTTTAAACATAATTTGAATAAATATTAGTTCCATATTATTAAAATATAGAAGCAATGATTATTCTGCTTTTAATTAAAATAAATATAAATTTTTAGTTTTTAAAAGATATCTATGTTGTCTTTCATTTTCTATAAATTATTATTATTTTTTTTATCAATGCTACCTTTTAATTTATGTTAACTTATTTTAAGTTTTTAAATTTTTCTATTTTCCAAAAAAAAGTTATAAAATGTCATGCCTTTTTTATAATGTGATCGATGCCTATATTACTTAAGTAAGTAGAAGTAAATAGAAGTAGATAGAATATATTAAGTAGATAATATATTCTTTAAGAAACTTTAAATTAGTTTTGTAGAAGCAAATTAGATCTTTAGTTTAATTAGATATGCCACTTGATTATTGAAATTTGTCTCACAAGTTTTTTACTTTTAAAAAGCTATATTAGAAGCCACCTACAACTTGACACTTGGGCCACATGTCTTGTGGTTCTTAAGAAGCTTTCATACGGCCTTCTTGGTAGCTAATATAAACGGAGATAAGAGTGAGAAGTTCTTTAGTCTTAGAAATATCTTTCTTGTATTTCAACATTGATTAAAGACTCTTTAGTCTCCTCGTAATTGGCAATAGCTATTTTAGTTTAGTTTAGTTTAGTTTATTTTATTTTTTAGTTTTTATTTATTTATTTATTTATTTTTTAAAATCTCATAGCTTTTTCTTTTTGTATTACTTCTCCCTTCTTCAATAATACACAAGTATATTGTCTTTTGAGTTTTATCTAGATTCATATCCTTGACATATAATCTTCTATATACATATGTATATAATGCATCATCTCTCTCCTTACTTTTGTTGTTATTATATATATATATATATATATATATATATATATATCAATAGAAATATAAAGAATTAATAAGTTTAACATGAAAAGCAATAAAGGTGCAATCTTAATCTAAATAAATTGTACCATCCTAGGAATCATAGTGATTAATTGTTTGGGAGAAATTTTACACATAATTAAAATTATCCAAAAAAATTAGTTAAACATGAACAAAAAATATATATATATATATATATATATATATATAAAATAAAACACATATAGATTACAACAAATTTAAGTGTAGAATATTTATTACAAAGAATTCTAAGTTTTTTGAATTAATGAAATAATCAATTAATATAAATATTTTAATAGATTTTCTACAAAATCAATATAAATGATGTCTAAGTAAGTAAAGCTAAAAGAAACTAATTTGCAAGCCAATGCTTTAGAATTAAGGATGAGAATGACTTGGTTGGTATAGATTCGTACAATGCTGCATGAAATTAAATCCTTTGAAGTGTGATTGACTTACCCATAAGTGCGTATTCACAAACGTATATATATTTATATATACGTAGAATTGGATACCCAAGCCGTTTTCAGAATACGTAGAATATTACATACGTATCCAGTCGAAGGCGGCAAACGACAGATGTCGATCAAAACTTCGTCGCCCCAGCCCCACAGAATGTCATCGTCGACGAATTCTCGACGAAGGAGACTTCGTCGAGGGGACGAAGCTCGACTTGGACGGCGGTCGTCGAAGCCTTCTGCAGCAGCTTCTATCGATTCTTATCGTGCCAGCACCTCATCCGCATCCGCGAAACGATCCCACCCAATTGCGTAATCTCCACGGTTTCTGCATTTCACAGTTTCGAAATTCCACAAGTTTAGCACATTGCGGAAAGTTTATATATTGGCCTTCCAATATTAGCTTTCATTGGGCCCACCAATGTCGCTTTCGATGGCATCAGTGTGTCCTGTGGCAATTTTTATGTTTGAGGATTCTCTGCCCTCGAAGTTTGATGCTGGTCAGCGTTTCTGATAACTTCCGATCATGTCCAATCTTTTTATTTTGAGGTGGGTTTGTGAAAATTTCCGGGTTTGGAGCGTGTTCGTGGAAGTGTAGTGGTGTGAAAGATTCTTTGTGGCGTGGTCTGTCGTGGAAAGTTTTTTGTGAAGTGTACGTTCCATGAAGATTGACCGCGGCCTCCCTTATGCCGTCTTTGTGCAGGATTCAGTATCTCTGGTAGGTTGTTCGTATACTTGAAGAACCTTGTTGGTTCCGTGTAATTAGTTTCCAAGTGGTCGAGATTCTGCGTCGTGATGTGGTGCGACTTGTTTAGTGTCACGGTTCAGAAATGTGGACGCCGGTGAAGGCCGGCGCGCAGTGCGAGCATGGGAGGCAGCTTTGAGTTTCTTCTGTTTCAGCACCTGACGATGACCAAGCTAAGGCGGTCGAATGCGCCTCTGTAGTGGTGAGTTTGTCTTCCTTGAAGCAATTCGAACTGATACAACTGGAGAAGAGTATTTCATAATTCGAATTTTGGGTCTACATAGTTCATTGGCGGATTTATGGAGTCGACTTGGAATCCCTCATCATCTGAGTCGGTTTATTAACTGTGGTTGGTCGTCATGCAGTCTGTATCCCTTAGGGAATTCGAATTGTTATTTTAGAAGAGGATATTTTTGCTATTGATACATCTCGTAGTCGATATACTGGAGATTATGCTATCGTCACAATGAGACCGTTGCTTGAGCTTAGTTTTTTAAACGAGTTACACAATAATACCCGATTTATTTATTTATTTATTTATTTTTTGCATTGTAGAGGATGAAAGAGCTGTACATTTCTTGTTTACTTGCAAACCGGTAGTCCCTGAATGATGATCCGTCGATGTCACTCAGTTCCCTGTTTTGTTGATTGATCGGGAATTTAGGGCTTTGTTAGAGTACGTTGAATACAAGATGCATACAATGTCAGCCTTGTAAAGATGCTGCGATGTTTCTTGATCAACGAACAGTGCTTAAATCATTTTGAAAGGAGGTTTTTGTTTTTTTAATCGTAGGTTTTATGATACTTCGAAGGGATGCTCGCATGTTCTACCTTTTCCTGCTCTGGTGCATTTGTTTCTAAGCTTTCTCTATTTCTGTTAGACATCTCCAACAGCTGAATCTACATGTTCTTCCGCATCTAGGGTTCACGTCGATTCTGAAGGTCGTTATTTGTGTTTTCTTGTTTAATTTTATTTCTTAGATTTTGCGTGGTGTCTTGATTGTCATGGGGACTTTATTTTTTCCGATTGTAGTTCTCTTCAGAGATCCCACATGGTCTGAATCCTGCGACTTTTATAACAGATAAATCCTCGTTCCTTTTTTGTTCTAACAATGGCATATTTTGTGGATGCTCTGATCAGTTGTAGGAATGGGATATGATTGGAAGAAGCAGTATGGATTCATCATACTGTTTCTATCACTTGCGATGTGTGCAGCATCTGCTGAAATAGGTTAGTGCCGAGCTTACTTATTCCCCTCTTGCATGGTGTATCGTTGAAATACCTGTGATGGCAGTCTTGACTTTTACCATTGCCACGTAGATCATCTCATTCAACATGTAGTGTTTTCTTCTTTCTAGTAGTTTCAGACTTAATTGATTCATCAAATTGCTACGAAAATCTCCACAGGATTGTCATCCTCGAATTCTTGATGTTGTGCGGGATTTGTCATATGCGCTTTGATATATAGCATTGATGCCATCACTGTACCTTTGGAGTGAACGCTCTGCATCATACTGAGTAGAACGGGGAGAGTAAGACAAGTTGGCCTTTCATGTATAGATCGGAAAACTGCGATTTGTGAATATAATAGGACAAAAGCGCTCAATCTTGTGGAGTATGCATCTGCGGTATATGCCTGCCTTGACTTACCTATTTCTTGCAGTGATCCCTTGTTATTATGAATGTATGTCAATTGTTCATAGTCTATTTCTCTTGAATATCTTGAACAACAAATGTGCAGTTGTATATCTGTCAGGGTCTTTTATATGTATCTCTTCATTCTGCGTTGTTTCGTTGATAATATCTGAGTATTGTGATATGTCGAAGTAATGCTTTGTTCTCCTGGCAGGTTTACACAATTGACGACCTGTCACTTCTATCATGGACATGTTCCCGTTGCAAAGGTTTGACCAAGGTGCGCCAATGTTTGTTGAGCAGATTTCAGTTTGGCGGTTTACCTATTAATTGTAAACACTTGGAATTATATTTAAATCTGTGTTTTATAGTGGTAATGACTGGGCATATAACCACTACCAACTGCAGCTAAATCCTCAAAAACACTACTTTTTCCAAACGCGACGCGTTCTTCATCTTCTTGACATGTTGAATGACGTGTTCTTATTCACCATGGTTTAGTGCTTTATATGTTGTGGTGTTTTTGATGGGGCAGGGTTTCAAGATCCATACACTAATCGTGGATGTTCAACATTGTCTTCAGGTATTTCATCTTAAAGTCTGCTCTAACGTTGAGTTCAGTTTACCACTTAGTGTTTCCAAGAAATCCGGAAATTGGTTGCTGAGTCTGTAACTCTTGCTGTTTCTGGTTCGTTTTCATCAGAGTAAGTTAGATTCAAGGTTGTAAAAGTATGAACGACCATCACGTATAATTGACAATGAACAATGCCCTTGTTATGAGTACCTCTTTATACATGTGTATACTTGTGTGCCCAGTTTATTTATTTTGTTTCATAATTTACTTATTGCGAGGCTGGCTGAACTTAAGTTCATATTCCGTGCAGGCTTTTGTGGGTGTGGCGGAAAATTTGGATGCTATTGTAATTGCTTTTCGTGGAACTCAGGACACCAGGTGCTTCTGTGTTCTTTCACTTGCTACAATTATTATTAGCTTTTGATGTTAAGACGCAAAGCACTGATTAGTATCTTCATGAAGTGTTGACTTCAGCCCTTGTGAAAAGTGACTTAGTGCTGATAGATTTCATACTCGTGTGCAGCATCCAGAATTGGGCCGAGGACATATATTTCAGAGAGCTGGATCTGCATTATCCAGGAGTAATTGATGCAATGGTACGTAATCTGAATATCAGTCTCATAATAATATTCCCGTTATACCTCTCTATTTTCATCTTATTTTGACTTGCTACTTGGTATCAAGCTGAAGGCGATCATGATTGAAGTTTTGAGCACTTTTTGGTGCATTTTTTCTTGTGATATCATGCTCAGAGTCAAGTGCTTTTTTTATTTTTTGTTTTTTTATTTTATTTTATTTTTAAAGTGCAGTCTGACATCGGATGTTTGTATTTGCTATGAAGGAATGCAGACCCAAAAAATGGTTTTAATCTCTTTCTTTTTCTCAGCAGGTACATAGTGGGTTCTATGCAGCTTATCACAACACAACACTACGGGAGCGAGTTTTTGATGCAATACAAGCCATTCGGCAAGCTAGGAGTGACCTTGGTGTTATTATAACAGGACATTCTATGGGAGGGGCAATGGCTACCTTCTGTGCACTTGATCTTTCTGTGAGTCAGCTAACTATCATGGGAACGCTGATGGGGCAAGCATTAATGCAAGAATAAGATAGTAGGAGCAGAATATCTGTGTTACTCATATGATATCATTTTACCAGTAGCATGCTCAATAGTTTTTTAAGGTTGTGAGAACCTTCATGTTAAGCATTATTGATTTCATTGATTGCTATCTTTACAGGCGAATTATGGCTTTAAGAATGTCGAGGTCATTACGTTTGGGCAGCCTCGTGTGGGAAATTATGCTTTCGCACTGTACTATAATGCGTATGTCCCATTGACAATCCGTGTGACGCATGCACATGACATAGTACCTCATCTGCCCCCTTATTATCCATTGTTGGGAGAAAAGACTTACCATCACTTTGCTACTGAGGTATTTCTGGGACTTTCTTATCATTTTGAAGCTCTTATTTTTTTGAGGTCATTGTTATTAAGCCTTGGCTACACTATTTTTGTCTATGATATACATTGGATTACTGTTCTTTCAGCAAAATGACTTAAGTGTAGCTGGAGCTTCTTGAAATGTGGTAAGGATACCCGTGGCTGCTGTTGGTTTGCACGATGAAGTTCGCGGCAGTGTTTGAGTAATTTCTACTAAGACGATGTGGCACACTGCTGCAGGTCTGGATATTTAGAGTTGCTGTAGGCCGGCTGCAATACGAGTTTGAGCGAGTTTGTGACGGCTCTGGCGAGGATACTTCCTGCAGCAGGTCTACTCCTACAGCTCAGATCGTTATGTTGCACATATTCTGCAGGTCATAAACATGTTGGTGACTTTGGTTGAGGTTTTCGCTGTGGAGAGTGTCATCTAATGAATGATTTGATTTTCTGTTTTTGATAATAACAGTACTTTTGTGGATCATGACAGATCTGTAACTGGCAACAGCATTGCTGACCATCTTAATTATTATGGCGTTTATTTAAAAACTGAAGACGATGTAATGGCTTTACAAAACAGCTCAAATGGGCAAACGTTGGGATTAGGCTGTAAGACCAGGTCTCTGTGGGAGCGTTTCCCCGCAATGGCACAGGAATGAAGCATCGTCCATTTATCGCAGGATGATAGTCACGTTTTGTCCGCAGGCCTTGATCAGTTGCAAATCATCTAAACTGAATAAGAGACGCTTTTTATGGATTACATCACTTCAAACAGAAGATGAAAGTGGACATACGAAACAGTCTCCCATTCCCTATGATGTGGATGGCTCCGATTCTGGGTTCAAGTACTGCTCTTAGGATGGCATAGATCCTTCCGGAGTATATGGGTCACTAGAACTGCTCTAGTGTGCATCACATGGAAGCCAGTAGCTGGGGTTGTTTCCTGTTGTAATGAATTTCTAGCGAGATTACCCATTTGAGAGTAACTCATTTGTTGTACATAATTATTCTTATTGTTTTAATAATAGGTCTCGCCTGATATAATGGCGATGCTCTGATGGAATTCTTCCATCAAATGTGAAAGCAAGGCTGACAACTTGGTCTAGGATGATGAAACAGATCTGGCCTTGCCTTGCACTCTTTGTAAAAGCAATGTATTCTACACTGAATTTGCATCCACAATCTTAACCCCCTTTAGCACTCACACTTAAATGTGGTTGTTTTGCATTAGTAAATGGGTTCAGTTCATTGTCAAGTCATTTGCCATTGGTGCTCAATCTCTTTCAACTGCTCTTGCTTGACCTCTTCAGAAGTCCTTGCATCAGTTTCTACAATGTAATGTCCGATGAGCTTGCTTGTGTCTATCAAGACTTGACCCAACATTCCAAAACACACAACTTAAGTACACAATCACAATCACAATTACAGAATTTTCGGCATATTTAGTTTGTATCTCTTGATTGTTGTCAATGGACGAATACATTTTTTTACCGTCATGGTGGAGAGTCTGAGATTCTAAACCAAGGCTCTTCGTCGATAGTTTGGAACAAATGTAGTAGAGGAAACGGTATTTAACAATGTACAGGATCAGTATTACAATCCATACCAGTTTGTTTATTTATTCATTTAGATCTAGGTTTCATTCTTTAGCCATCTATTGGTCATTCTAAACTGACGAGATATCAAATACGGATAGCTTTGATTATGTTTTCCCACATTTTTGTACGTTAAAAATAATTAAATCTATATTATAAAATTTCAATAAACTCTTTTTTTATAATAATAATAATAACTACTATTACGAGTTTTTGTAAGAAATTACTGTGATATTTTGGAAAATCAATTCATTTTTTTAATATTTTTTTATATTAATCAAATACACAGAAATACATTATTTGATTTGAATTACCTAAATCCCCAAATTGATATTCCCATCATCCAAGGTTATGTAAAATCAGGGTTGTGTTTTTTGAAAGCTACCGCTCCAATTTTGCTGTTCTAGGTCCACATGCTTTTTCTTGGCAAGTGGAGTGTGAACCATGAAAATATTTATTTATTCATTTATCTATCCACATTTTTTTTTGAATATATATATACATATATAGTGCATTTTGACTTATTATTGTGAACAGGCTATTAACACTGACTAGTGGGTGGCAAGTCACAATCTCTCTCTCATCCATCCATCCATCCATCCATCAGGTAAGGACTGGGCTGGACCACCACCTGTTTCGTGCCCCAGCAAGCTTTTCCTGCTAGACCCCCCCTCCCCCCCTGTTCCTATCAAAACTGTGACTTGATAATATTTGTGGAATTTCCTTTATTCACTTCCTAGGAATGATTTTTAGAAAGTATCACACACTTACTCTAAAACACACACACACATGCCAATGTTATCACTCAAGCTCATTAAACTATAAAAAACAATAAAAATACAATATGTGTACACATCAGAGAGAGAGAGATGGAGTTGTGGGTTTTTGTCTCATGTCTTGTCACACCAAAGACATGAACAACCCCATGTTTATGATGAGAGAGAGTGAGTGAGAGAGAAAGAGAAAGAGAGTTCGAGTACCCATCCATCATTTATTCATTCATCCATCCATGTCTTTTGGCCCTTTCCCCCCTGGCCAGCCACCATGTCCTCATATGATAATAATAATACTACTCATGATTCCAAGTCTGGGAAACTCAGGAATCAGGGTTTTGGTGTGATATTTTTCTATTGGCCTTTTTCCCTCCTCCTACTCAGACAATGCCAAGTAATTATATTATTTATTGTATTATTAATTATCCAAAATTGCACTAAGAAATCTTTTGTGTGAATATTTTATGGAAACCTTGAGCACACGTGGACAAAAGGTGGGGGGGGGGTCCAATTGGCGGGAACGAAGACACCAACCAGCATTCGTGAATTTGAGAGGGATCTATTATACCCCTCTAACCCAAACACAAAAATCTTGATTAGGCCTGATTAAGACTAATCTCGAAATAATTAAGCCCCCCCTGATGATCTTCAGCCTTAGTTGGCCCTCTACTAGGACGAGGACACAGCTTGCAAGAAGTTACTAGATTGAGGGGAGGAGAAGCAACTCGTCAGTCATGCGACATGAATAGAACAGAAGATACGTGGGATTAGTGCTTTCGCAGGGGAGATTAGGAAGGCTTAACCCAGATTAGGGGGGAAGGGGAGCATTAGTGCTTGATTAGCAACAGCGTTGTCGTAGTTGAAAGGCGGGAAGTGGCGATGGCGAGAGGATGCTTAAGTGGGCATCGCAAGCTGTGTGAAGTAATTGTGCATCGTAGTCTTTCCTTGACGTCGTCGTCGTTGTTGTAGTTGTTGTTGTGGTTGTTGTTGTTGAGTCTCGTCTCGCATGACAGAGAACTTGCAGTTACCGTTGCGCGGTGCTAATCGGTCGTGGTTGTGCGAAGAACGGGGTTTATTCTGTCTATTCGCATTGCAATCGATTTAACAATTGATCTTGGCGGTGGTGCGTGAAGGTTGAAGCTCAGAGCCCAGCCGTGAGATAATTCGTCAGGTAACGACGGATAAACTGTGGTGCATTGCTATCCGTTCAACATCAGTGTGTTACCTGTGTGTTTGTTTGCATCTCTTGGATGAGAAGATTGTTTCTCTTTGACGTGAACATGTATTGAGTAATTGTGCACCCTCAATTTTCTGGACGCTTGAAATTCTTGCAGTGGTCTCGTCTGTCACGTTGAGCGGTAGCTTTGAGAGAAGTTCAGCGTGATCTATCCTCTGACAGTTGATGTGTCGAATGCAGCCAAGGGTGGCGTTGCTATCTGACTGCTTGCATCGAGAGAGGTCTCTGTCTGACGAGCTTATCGCACAACGCGGTGTAGGTGGACTTCATCGCGAACTTTACAAGTAGCTGTCCATACACCCTGCATATCCTACTTACTGCAATCACTCGGAAGATCTTTCAAATCCTTCTCTAAATACTATCTCACGTGTGCGAGTTTGAAAAGCCGTACTACCCTTCTCTTTGATTCATCGTGCTGTGCATCATCTAAGAATAAACCAGTGCTTTCTAACGAATTTTCCGAGGTAGAGCAAGGCCTGTTCCCGATCGATTTCAATGATGAATATTGATCGAAATAGGATTTTAAACGATGAGTCAACTTGTTCATAATAGCATCTCTTTGCAATTCATTCTTGATTCGGTTCTAGCTATCGATAAAGTTGCGGCATCTTAAATAACTTCGCTAACGTCATCGAGCCGAATCCACACTAGAGCCCATGTTAGTGTTGTTTTTTTGCAACTCCGGACGCTAGGCTACCAGTTCTGTGAGCAGCTCGTGCCTACACAACTTAGGACTTGATCTTTCGCAGAGAATCGCTGGTTGTTAAGTTATGTTGGCTTTGGTCCGATCCTTGCGTATAAATCTAGTCGTCTATGTTAGAAAGGGAACCTCGTTTCTGTTTGTAGTACCCATGAATTCTGGCTACAAATATGACGAAGTGGCACAGCAAGTCATGAGCTCAAAGTACCACTTCGTACGGAGAAACGTGGTGCTGCGTACTAATTTGCGAAAGACTATGTATGGGGTTCTCTGTAGGTCATATTATGCGAAGGGCAAAGGACTCGCCAGATGATCCAATCAGGCAAACCCCCAATCATGTATTTGCCCGATGATATTCATTTGAATTGTTACAAGAGTGCTCCTTTTTAGAGAGTAGATAGCATGTACAATTACGATGATCTCGTCACAACTATTAGAAGCTGCGAATCTGAAAGAAAAGCTCCCTACAAACGGGTTTCATTCACAGCAAGCTAACTTCCGTCTGATGGTTTTTGACGTAATAATTTATCGTATTTACGATTTCTTCTAATCTTTCAGTTTCAGAAAATCGACCATACAAACCTGTGTAGCCGTTGGAAAAAGACAGCCAGTACTCATTGTGTATCATTACCATATTTGCACGTCATGAGATGGGCGGTGCGTTGATTGTCACTTGTCCACTGGATATGTTCAAAGCCCCTTCTCATTTACGTCAATAAGAAAATCGCTAATATTTATCTTGAAAACTTGGTTGTGGTTGTCCTTAAATCCAGAAGCCGGCGCTCCAGCTTGGATCCTGCAATATTGGATCAGTTTGGAGGTAGGATGCTTCTTACTTTGAATATTTCGCACTGCATGGACAATTCTTGTATCGCGGAGAATCTGAAGTATGCATGAAATACCTTTCACCACGATTGTCAATATCCTTCGCAGTCATGCGACATGAAATGAACTCATAAAACTCGAATATTCCTGGATATTAGTGCAACCAATGTTGAGTTAGCATGGCACACACTGAATCTGATGAATTCTGCGGAAGTCCGCCCTTGAGGTGTTTGATTGTCGCGTGATGAAAGTACTTATTCCTTAGGTGCTTGGATCTGTGACCTCTCAGCAGGGGTGTTGATCTAATGGAGTAAGTCGTTACAGTAGAATGATCGCTTCCGCTTCTTTGTCAATATCAACAGCGTTAAAATAGGAACCTCAGGGTTTCTCTGTATAGATATCGCGACTGTGGGCGACAAATGATGGCTTTCAACAATTTATCACATGATGTATCCCTACAGCAGTTTCCAGAGCTTTGGGAAAGTTCTAGATTCTCTCAAAGGCATGACACTCTGGACGCTGATCAGCACACACAGGGCTTTGACGATACACAATTTCCCAAGGAGCCGCTGGAGCCTAATACTAACTTGCATCAAGTTGCAATGGAAATCCAGCCTAACGCAACTATAATTGGTGACGAGAGTAGCAGGGGCAGGAATCCTGTAGTGAATGAATCGGATGACAGAGAAGACGACAATCATCTCTTGGGAACAGAGGACGGGATAGTGAAGAATGGTCGTACTTGGCTCAATAGTGCTCTACTGAGAGAACAGAATCAGGCTAGTGAAGATAGATCAGGTTACGGCGATCATAATGCAGCCGAAAGATGGTGCCCTGTCTGTTCAGCGAGCGGTTCACAGTCTTGTATGTGTGGCATGCCAATGCATGCTGGTGATAGCAGCACGATCTCATTTCCTAATCAGAGTACCTACACCCATTGGCTGTCGATGCAAGGCGCTAATATGCTAGCTTCTCAACATCGGACAGGGGGGGAGGTTGATGCGAAAGCTGCAGGTTTTACAGTCAGCCCTCAATCGACGAAAATGGCGACAGAGCTGAACTTGTCTCCAGCAGGGCATGGTAGAGACAACCATGCGCTGTTTACAGACCCGCGGCATTCTGTAGCGCAAGGTGGTTCTAGATATGCTGAAGATTATGAAAGAACCGAACATCAGGTAAATTTACTTCTCATTACTAATTAATGACAATGATACGATGAAGTGAAGTTGTGAAGGAGCAACCACCAAGTTTTGGTTCTTTTATCATTGTTTCCAATGGCCGAGTAGAAGTTCCAAGGAATTGACCAAATTCTGTACAATCTTACGATGGCTGGCTGGCCGGCCGACCTCATATGAAAACCCATGGAGTGGAGCTGATTGCCTTTTGCATGAGGAACCTTTTAAATAGGTTCTCGAATTTTGAATCGATTTTTTCATATCTTTACTACAGACCGACTGGGAGGGAGCAACCCAAAAGATGGAGTGGGAGCAGGCCAGAGACAAGTTTCTGATTGTTGCTCATCCACTATATCCAGATTTATTGAATGCACACGCTTCTTGTCTTCGGGTGGGGACCCCGGTAGATCAGCTTCCACATATTGAGGCGCAGTTAACTCAAGCTCGACATGTTACAAGCAAATACTCTGTACTTCATCCCGATCACCTCGAAATTACCGAGGATGAAAAAACAGAACTTGATCAATTCATGGTAAGTGTGTATAGTACTAGGAATCGTCGTTCATGAGAGCTCAATCACTAAATAGGTTGTGCTCGAAATGTAGTCCCAATTTCACAATGTAATGTTTTCAGCACTTCTGAAACTCTAGTCAATGCAACGAGCTAAACAGCCCTTCGAAAGTTTCTTTGTCGTCTTTGAATAGGTACTGCTTCTACGGGACAAACCCGTATGCGTCCTTCCAAGGATATTGGACACAATTCCTGCTGTCACTGCCAGACAGTGAGCAGATTACGGTCTTTCGCTCAATAATCTAGAGATTCTTCCACAAATCTTGGACAGAATTCCTCGAAAAGACCCTTAGTGTTAAATTAGTAACTTAATTTTTTCTTTGTACCTTTCACATTCATAACAGTAAAATCTGAAAACCTAATGAATGTTGACTGCAGGCCCAGTATATCATGCTCCTTTGTTCGTTCAAAGATCACCTTCAACAACACGTATATTATGATGTTACTGAGGCCATGATGTCTTGTTGGGAGTTGGAGCAAGCACTACACAATCTCACTGGTAAGTGAAAAAACAATTGTTTACGGGCCAACGTATTGTTTTTCTTTTTTTCTTTTTTTCTTCACATTATTAGATTGCAAATTGATCAGTTCCAAAACCTCAAATTGTCTTTACCTGAAAAAGAAGTGAACTGCCACCGAGTTGAGGCAGGTTAGGCACAAATATGTTTCCATATACTGTCCCTAAAAAATCATTCTCATTCGCCTTCTCAAACTGATCTCAATGCTATTCAGACTCCTGCAATGAGTTTGAGTAAAAAAACACTAACTAAATGCTGTTATTCCCCTGTAAGTTACCTAAAGAGTGTCACCCTACCTTCAAGTTATCTTTGGTTAGAGTTCAATATCAGTTTCCTCAAGAAGATATAGAAGTTTAGGGAGTTTACCCCACGTCACGAGTTTGATCCTCTGAAGTCAAAGTGAATGTGTGCTTGGAATTTTTATAATAGCCATGTAAAAACATGCCCTAGATGTGTTGCACCTTTCAATATCTCGACGGGGCTTTCATTTTGTGAAAACCCGCAGTACGAGTGAGCGATATCTTGGTGTTCAATTATGCAGGAGTCTCTGCAGGGGAAAGCACTGGTGCGACAATGTCTGAGGAAGATGAGGATTATGATAGTGATTATGGTGCATACGATGCACACATGGATCCTCAAGACAGCGGAGGTTTTGGTCCTCTGGTGCCTACTGAATCGGAGAGAACTCTTATGGAACGTGTTCGCCAAGAACTCAAGTACGAGCTGAAGCAGGCATGTGTTGTGGACCACAATCTTTATTACTAACATGATGTATATCTACCATTTGAATTGTATTTGTGCGTTATTAGAGTAGTTAATTGTAAAGACCGTTCATACTCTGTCCAACGAATTTGAGATTGTATACCTGGCTAATTTCTTGGTTTGAATTATGTCAGGTCAGGCAGATTTTTGATTAGTGAGTCAGAATTTTGCCAAGAAAATTTACTATTAGTATCATCTTTAAGATTTCGTCGTTATGCATTACCATTACCAGGGATACAGAGCAAGAATTGTTGATGTGCGAGAGGAGATCCTACGCAAACGGCGTGCTGGAAAGCTGCCTGAGGGAACTACAACAGTCTTGAAGGCTTGGTGGCAAGCACATTCAAAGTGGCCATATCCCACGGTATCAAAAAATTCATCAGGAATCCTGAACTACGTATATCCATTCATGCTTTATGTTCTAGTTCACGTAATTTCAGAATTCCATTTATATATATATATATACGTATTGGTGACATGCTGATTTTTCCACCTCTGTTTTGCACTCCTCAACCAGGAGGATGAAAAGGAGCGGCTGATTCAGGAGACAGGTTTGGAATTGAAGCAAGTGAATAATTGGTTCATAAACCAACGCAAGCGGAACTGGCACAGCAATCCATTGTCATCATCTTCTGAGCTGAAGAGCAAACGGAAAAAGTGAGTACACCGTAATTGCATTTTCTGGTTGAGCATTTCCAAGAACCGTCTATTAACGTGTCAACCTCAAACTCCAGGTTTTTTCTTTTATTCGTTCTCGCTAATTCACTAAGTCACAAGTTCCAGCAGGTACTAATCACTTGAGGTCGCTCTCTGAGTTTGAACCATTACATCGTGTTCTATTTGTCGAGGTACTTCCTGAAAATATTGATTAAGTTCCTAAATTTTGCGTTGTGAAACTTGATCGATTTCTTCTTGTACTACGTGTTTGGTTTAGAAACGCACTGACATGGACCTGTTTACGTTTTCGAATTGTAGCTGGTAATTGCTCCACACATCACGTGATTGCAAGTGAAAACTTACAGCAAGAAATATGAGCATTTGCGTACACTCCGAGTATATTGCGAGGAAAAGGTTGTCCACAGCTAGCAGCCAATTGGTTGCTTTCAAAGATCTATCTATGAAGTTTCGACGGCTTCAAGGTTGATTTCTCAATTGTTCAAAGAGGCATCACTGTAAGAAAGGGGAAGTTTCTTCATACGAACGATTTGAAGTTATTTAAGTAATACATACGAGGATAGTATGTGCTACTATTATCAAGCTTGGCATACGAAGTCGGATGAGTGTTATAATTCAGTAACGTAAAGGGGAGAATTGAGGGCCATGTTTGAAGTTTCCAAGGACTCATCCTGTGTGATAGCTTTTCTCATGAATTAAGCGACAAGGTCATTTGTTGTTATGTGGATGGCACGAGCGCCAGGATCAATTGGATTCTGCAAATACGAGAGAGAGAGTTTGCTAACAAATCAACGCACACCCACACTTGTAAGCGCAAGTTTACTTCATTTTGGTGTACATCAGCAAGAAGTAAAAAAACAACTGGTGACAGTCTAAATTTAAGCAGGCTCGTAGTATTCCAGACTTGCGATCACCAGGCAGATTGTTTCAATGCACGCACACTTGATGATGAACTGCTTCTCAAGTCACAAGCTTCATCAACATAGGTAACCATATAAGTTTACAGGTGCTGTATCAGCCACGGATCCCGAGGCAATGATGCCTCCCGAGCTCAACAATGTGTTAATCCGGAAACACTATCGCAAGAGTGCAGAATGTAATTTTAACAGTGTATAGATTATGATATTGGCATTGTATATATACACTTGGGAACACTTATCTACTTCCAATGTACACTGGTTGAGAGTAATTCTAGCTTAAAGCGTTAGCTAGCTCTTATTTTTGGCTATTTCCTTGTAAAGGCAAATTGGACGAAGTAAAGTTATGCAATTCATTCAATGCTGACGTCTCTGGTATTGTATCATGAGATGTGATCAGTTTCAACTCCCTCCCTCACACCTTAACTTGCATCCTAATGATAGTTATGGCTGATGTTCAACACGGCAGGGATGTGGAGGCAGACATGCTCCCAATCTTGCATTGCTTCCGACGGCTGAGGTTGGTGAGTGTTCTCTTCGAATTGATTTTATATTGTCCTTTGAGTGGCAGGTCATTTCCCTCCTAAGATTAGAAAATTAAGGTTACATGCATTGTTGTAGAATAGAGCAAAGAAGTTCTCTTCTTTTGGTTCTACACTTTTCTAAAGGTTTTGTGAATATATATGCTTGCTACTTATTCATGTAGATGTAAGTAGCTTTAATATTGCCATCTTCATTTCTTTTCTTGATGTAATGGTGTTGTAGCTCAATATGCTTTGTTCTTGTATGTAGAATGGGATTCTTTAATAGTTTTATAGAGCTTTGATTGTTGCAAAACATCCTTGTTGGCTTTTTTGACTCTCATAATTCAACCAGCAAGATGTACACCTATATGATCTCTCACACTCCATCACTCTATCAAAGAGGGCCCTTTACAATGGGTTGCAATTTGCTGCTCCAATGTAGTAGTGCATTGCCCATCTTGAACAAAATTCTTGATGTTAACTTTCTCTTGACTAGATCCCTTTCTTAATTTAAATCAATAAAAACTTCTAATTCCTGCATTGTGTTGTTTGGTATGAATATTTTTTGACTATATGTACCTTTGATGTACCAGAGAACCTTGATAGTGGCATCAAGGTGCAGCTATTGTAGAGCCAATATAAACCAACTAAAGCAACTAACTAAGTAAGATAAGTTTGATTTGGTATGAGTCATATATATTAGACTCCCTACTAAGCTTTGGTATTTTATTACATCTACAAATTTTGCATCCATGTTCATATGTAGTTTGTGCATTCTTCCATTGGACTTACTACTGATCCATAATCTAACATGCCAAATTTTTGTAGTAAATTAAGAACATAGCTTCTTTGAATCACTAATATCCTTTAAAAAAAGTATACAAATTCTATGTTAATGTAGAAGGTAAATAATCATAATTTCAACATCTCAAATCTTTTCTTAAGGTTTTGTTGTCATTATTCTATCCAATTTATCTGATTTCTTGTGACTAATAAATTACTTGCATATATTAGCACTATTATGGTGAATTCTTCTTCTTGACAAAAATATAAATTATCATTAGTTCAATTCCTCACCATTCCAAAATCTATTAAGAAAATATGAATTTTGATGTATTAAGCTTTACTTGTTTGTTTGAGATTATAGATTGCTTTTATTAAGAGACATACTTTATCTTGATCTTCTATCCAAAGAAGAAACAAACCTTAAGGCAGTTCTATGTGAACTTCTTCTTCAAGGTCTTTGTTCAAAAAAGTTGTTGTAATATCCAAGTATTAAATGTTCCATTTTTTTTTAGTTGCCATGATCACTATAAGTCTTAGCATTGCCCATTTTATTGTGGATGCAATTGTATTTTGTTAATAGATTTTTTTTTTTTTTTTTTTTTTTTTTTTTTTTGTTCAAATCCTTGAGCAACCAATCTTGCCTTCAGCTTTTTTATCTTCCTATTAACAATTAGTTTAGTTTTGAAAATCTATTTTGATATAATAGTATTTTTTTTTACTTGTTTGATAACTAGCTCTCACATTTAATTCTTTTGAATAGAATTAAAGTCATTTTATATAGCTCTAGTTCAATTGAGATATTATCTAGCTACGTTAAAGGAATTAGAATCCTTAAGATTGATTACATAAATGTAATCTTCTAATTGTATCAGCAATCATCTTATTAATTTATTAATGTTGAGTCTAACCTTTAATGATCACTTTGTGCTATTATTCTTGATGAAACTATGGATGTATGTCATTTGTATTTATATTTGCATTAGAAGAACCAATAAGTGCATCTTTACTTTTTTTAGTAAGATCTAACCTTATATTTTGCTCCATTGAGGTAGGAAGTATTATTTTCTTGATTCTTAAGATTCTTTCATCAAAGATAGCATCTTTACTTATGATGATTTTTCTTGTCAAGGAATAAAATAATCTATATGCTTTGGTAATAGAATTGTAGTCCAAGAAGAAACATCTGATTGATCTAGGCTATAATTTTTTCTAATAATGTTTAGGAAAATACATAGGCAAGTGATCGAAAAACTTTGAAATGTTGGAGTGTAGGTTTACAACTTGTATACCTTTCTTTAGATGTGATTCCATTGTTTTTTTAAAAAGACATTTGTTGATGATGTGTATGGTTGTATTGATTGCTTTATTCTAGAAATAGGCCAGTGCATCACATACAAAACTTGTATTGCATACTTACTGAAAGAAGATCATGTTCTTACATTCTGCTACTCTATTTTAATAAAGAGTGTGTGATTATGTTTTTTAATGTATGATGCCATTGTCCATACAAAATCTTTCAAATTTCAATGAAATGTATTCTCTTCTTTTGTTTGTTTGAAATATTTTAATGTGGTCCCTTGTTTCTTTTTCTACCATAGATTTAAAATACTTAAATGTCTAATAGACTTGAGACTTTACTTTCAAAAAATAGGTCCATGTCTTTTTAGAATAGTCATCCATTAATGTCATAAAATATTTTGAATTGGACAGTAATTGAATTGATATTGGCATACAAAGATTTAAATGAACGATTATGTTTCTTTGTGTGGCCCTACTCTCTAACATGTTGTATTGGAATATTTGTTCTTTTATATTTTTCTTCTATATAATATAATCATAGTCTATATTCTATTGATAAATATTAAAGTCTATCTATACTTTTTTTTATTTCATTTAGGATCCTAAAATTAGATGCCTTAACCTCACATGCTATAGAAAAATTAAATAATTTTTAGCTACTAAATAGATACAAGGTTCATAGCAATTGGACTCCAACCTATATAGCCTATTGGTGGAATCTAGTTTTCCTCTAGTTATAACTTTTGTTGGATGAGTTGTATTTACTATTTGACAATGCATTCATTCAAAAGTAACAATGTATCCTTCATATGCAATATTAACTACTAGCAACAATTTTTTTGTTATACCAAGGATATACAAAATATTACTAATATTCTTTACTTTTCCATTACATTCAACAAATACATTTTTTTTACCTTTTATTTTGTGAAAGGTCCTACTAATAGATTAAACATTGGATTCTTTAATTATTTTTAATTCATACATTCTAGATAAGTCTCTTATAGTATGCTTGGTCGCCTAGGAATCTAATTATTAGATAGTGTTGTTATTATTAATATCCATTAAAAGTATTGTGGTTTCCAACATCTCTAAAGTTTTCATTGGTTCTTCTAGTCTTGAGTCTTCTTAGAAAACATTGATTTGTTGCCTTTGATATAAATGACGCATTGGGTGAAAGTTGGACTAGTCCTACTATCAATGTATTAGGTGCTTGATTTCACACTCTTTGGAAAAGTGGCTCTAAATACCACAATTGTTACAATAGCGTCAATACATGGGTCTATGACATTTTGATGTCTTTGTATTTGTAATGCTTATTAATCTTCTTCTTGTCATTTTTCTTCTTTGTGCTTCATTGTACATTCTTGGCCCTTTATCAAATATTCTAAGATGCCTCTCAGTTCTAACCATCAAACGTGCTTTGTTTTAGATTACATCATCTTCTTTCTTTGTCTCTTCTAAGATCAGTTTGCCATAAAGTTTTTTCAAAGTTGGTAGATCATCTTAGTATAATATTGCTTAGAAAAAAACATTGTAGCTTTTTGATAGAGCTCCTAACATAATTTGGACAAATCTAGTTTCTAATACCACATCTCCAACACTTGCAAGTTGTACTACCAACTCCTTCCTTCTTTTGATGAAGTTTTTTGTAGTGGAACTTTTAATCATTTTGATGTTCTCAAGCTTGTTACTAAAATGAAGAGTCTTGGCTCCATTTCTTGCCTTGAAGATATTCTTCAAGGTGTCTCAGCATACCACAAGGTCATCACTTTTTGAAACATTATCTTTTAGTGAAAGTATGATAAGTATTGATGTCTTGTCCCTCCTTTCTTGTTCCATTTTAAGTGTGACCTCACCAAGTTCAACAATAATTCTGGCTTCTTTAGAATAGATATAGTGCCAAAGTTTCTTCTCTCTCAATATTGTTCTCATCTTGATTTTGCACACTCAGTAGTTGGAGGCTCTCTCAAGTTTGTTGGAATTTGCAATCAAAAAAGAACCTTCAGAGGCCATGCCGGTAAATTCTAAGACTTTGAAAAACTAATCTCGTTTCTTATTTGTGCACAAAATTTGTGTCTAGTCTATTACTATGCATTCATCTAGTACATTCACTCAATTGTTGCTCTATGACCAAGTTCAACTATCACATACATTCAAATATCCATCTGATACAAGGCACCCTTACTTGGCGTTTCAATCCGTGGTGGCCACTTAGATTGCAAGCTCTTCCACTAAGGCTATACCAAGCTTGATAGACGATATTAGTGCAAGGCTTGAAAAAGAATGTGAAGCCGATGTGTTGATCAGCAATGAGGGCTGTGAACTTAAAGAATCGACGTCTAGAATTCACACTAGAATGCAACAAATAAGCGACAGTAAAAAAACAACATTCTAAAGCAACATTCAATTTAGACTCATATAAAAAAAATAATTCTAAATTTTTTGAAATTTATGTATTCAATTACAATATAAAAAAAAAAATGACATGCATGTTATGCATTGAAAGAAAATATGTTTTATTCTATATAATATCTTATTATATGATATTACAATAAATCTTTGGATAACATAAATGATATTTTTTTAATTGTAAGTAATGAATACAACATAAATGATGGTGTATAAAATGTAATACACCAAAAAAATATGATAAGTAAAAAAAATTGGTTTATTTAGTATTTGATATCAATGCACTAATATGTCTAGAATATTTAATAATTAATGCATTAAATTTTAGATATTGCTAATGCCACCACAATCAACTATCCACTCAATATATTTCTTTAGTTATTTTATTCTAATTAAATTTTTGTTGAATCAAATGTTTTGAAAGATATTATCAAAGGTGGTATGTGGTAGATAGAGGGTTGTGGTGACAATAGCAAAAACTATGATATAATTACCAATATCTTAAATTTTAATATTTTAAGATTATATATATATATATATATATATGTAATATTTTTTTTGTTTATATATATACTCTATAATATTATTTATTATAATGTATTGGAATTATAAATTATAGATATTAATGCTTTGTCTATATTTTTTTATATCTATAATTATAATTTAGTATTACTAGCATCTATAGATATAAATTATATAATGCAAGATTCAACACTTTCTCAGCATTAGAATATTAAACAAATACCTTTAAAGTCTCAAAGATTTACAAGTAAAATTTTTAAGCAAAAAGGAGTGTGTTTGTATACTCTTATAAGGACATATTATAAGACTCGAGACCTTTCTCTTCTATGTTCAACATTGTTCAAATATGTTGAATTGGTAAACTTAAACTTAATACTTTAGTGGTAGACTATAATTCATTAATCAAGTAAAAAATATTTAACAAATAGTTTTTTTTGTAAATTCTACCAAAAATGTAAAAAATTATCTCTTTAAATTCTCAAATGAATAAAAAGCTATGGCTTCTCCAAGAAAAGCGATACTCCTACATGTTCTTCTCTCACTGCAATCTTCCAGATGGGTTTGTTAAGTAGACTAATCCAGGTGTGCTCGACCTCTTGTATTTTGTCATTTGACTCTTTCCAAGTCCAACTTGCAAGTGTGGAGGAAAATCCTTCAAACCCTGTCCTCCCTGCCACAAAAGGGTGCACGAGCTTACTTGATTTTGCAACGTTGAGAGTTTTGAATCTGTGTCAAAGAAGACATTTGAATTACCAACAAATTTCAATGTTTTCATGGCTCTGGTGTTCAAGTTGCAGAAATTAGTCGACAATGGAGGGCCCGTTTTAGTTAAAGCCAGTTTAAGCTATTTGCCTAGCAACACCAACTCTAACTTGTGAGATGTATTTGTGGAAGTAGAGGTATCACTTAACAGCAAGACTTGCAATGTATTAACCAATGGGTATTTGTCTGTACTGCCTTTACTTCTGACTTTATTGACCTGCGTGTTGCACATGAGATTATTTCCACAGTTTTATGCAAAACCACACACCAGTTTTCCTTCGACGCATCCCAAAAAGAACCGCAGTACCGTCTTACCAAGCATGAGCAAGCAAATAAAAAAGCTTGACCTTCACTTACATCTCATTAAAGATATTCCTCGTTCACATGAGCGTCTGACTCTAGGTTACCACCGGTTGGGGTCTAATCCGAACTAAGTTTCTGCTTCTAGGAGCTCCTTTCTCATCAACCAACATTCTCAATCCTACTCTAAGCTCGTCGATTCCTTCCTCCAAGACTGCACAAACTGGAAAAATAGGCACCTCTTCAGGTACTCTCCTTCGAAGCTCCTCCAGTGCCAGTTCAGTCCCTGGCTCATCGATTTTAGTAGCCACAATAAGGGCTGGCCGCGCGGAGAGACCATCTTTATACTTATCCAGTTCGAACTTGAGCTCCTCGAATTGGTCCCATGGTAGAGGACCTTTATTATCTTCTATATCAGCTGATAGATCCAAAACGTATGCTAGTGCTTTCGTTCGCTCAATATGACGCAAAAATGCATGACCTAACCCACGGTTTTCATGTGCCCCCTTTATCAGTCCAGGAATATCTGCCACCGTAAGTGAAAAATGATCTTCATACTCCAACTTCCCAATATTTGGTCTTAGAGTTGTAAAAGCATAGTGCCCAACTGTAGGTTTCGCTCGCGAAATAGCTCCCAATAATGTACTCTTTCCAGCATTTGGAGCACCTACTAGCCCAACATCAGCTATGGTCTTTAATTCAAGCACTAAGATTGCTTCCGAGCCGGGTGATCCGTCCTCGTGTTCATGGCTGGGAAGTAATTTCGATTTACCAACACCTCTTGCAGCAGCTGCATTGCCTCGGCCGCCTTCACCTCCAGCTCCTACGATTATACTCTGTCCTGGTTTCACAAACTCAGCGATTGCATACTTGGTAATTGTAGATTTCCTTCTAGGAATCTCTTCACTAAGTTCATCAGCTTCTTCGTCGAGGTCATCTTCGTCCTCGCCTTCGTCCTCATCATCATCATCCTCATCTTCAACTTCATCGCGCGTATTACCTGCAACATTTTTGGAGTGACTCAAATATAGAAGGAACATTCGACCAAAACAAGTTTTTATGGTGTCATTCGGAATTTTCAACAATTAATTCAATAGAAAACTTCAGATAACTACTGACAGAAGCTAAGGAGTTGAAAATGATTCTGTGAGGACGGGTAAAGCCATTTCATATGCAAAAGATGTTAATGACATGCCCTTTTCTAGAGCAATGCGGCAGTTAGTCACCTGAAGCATCTTCCGCGCTAACTTCGCTATCGTCTATGACCAAGTGCTCGCCATCACCTGAACTCTGGGGTACTTCTGCAATTGGGACCTCCTGTGCTCCGGTGGTAACAGGGGCAGCAGTTCCAGTCCAATCAGAATGATCTCCACACTCAGCTTGTTGCTGAGTACCAACCGTCGTGTCAGTCATTATTTGACTATTCTTTGCCAGAAATCTTGCTTTGGCATCGTCAAGGTACAAATTGTCTAACCATGCCGCTGACATCTCTGGTGATTCGTCTCCGGCCGTCGCGCCGCCACTATCTGTATGCCCAAGGACCATCGAGCGTTCCCACATCGTTCGGTCGGGAGTAACTGCAGGCAACTCTAGCGAGGGAACCGATCCAGACACTAAGTGCACAACTGTACCCACAGGGACTCGCACTATCTGAGGAGTGTCAGAAAACATTAGTAGTACATAGGGATGAACGGTTGAGACAATTCACAAAGCGCTAATACAATAATTAATGATCATTCATGAACCCTGTGTTGAAGTAATGTACCTTGTCAACGCCTCTGCTGCCAACTCGACGCTTCGACGAACCTGGGCCACCTTTCTTGCCATTCTACACATATCAGCAAGTGTGAAACAAAGCTCAATTCTCTTGCCAAAAAGTCAAAAGTAAAGATCGGATGGCCAATCTCAAATTCTGTTCAGTCCAAAAGTGAACAAGGATCAAGACATCGACAAGTCATCATTAAAGAATTTCAAGGCACAAAACGTACGAGGTGGTGCTGCAAGTTGCTGAAGTCCCATTCGGCGGCAGAACTGACTAAAATAACATCTCCCCCCCGACCTCCATTGCCTCCTGCGTTAGCAGATGTCGACAAGCAGTCATAAATGACATAAGAAAATCCAGTAATTACTTAATTAGACAGGTGTATGACAACATATGAAGCTTACCATCTGCAGTGCCATGGCGTGAATGGCGACTCTTGCGGAAGCTGGTGCAGCCAGAGCCTCCAGGGCCACCCCGAACGCTCAGGCGAAAGCGATCCACTAATTTGCGCTCCTGCAATGGTGCACGCTTGGCAGAGGTAGCGAAGAAGCGACTCGCAAGCGAGAAAGAGGAACGGAGGAAGGCGCCAACAGCCATGGCTCGCTTACAAATGAATTCCTCTAACTCCCCTAACCCCCTAACAGTTCATGTCCTTCTCAGAGAGGAAGCACTTCTTTGTTCAAATAGGCCAATACATCACCAATTTCTGACAGGAAAAATCAGATGTATCAGTTATACCCACCAACGACGTATGTACCTGCAGGTAGTGCCGAGGTGGAAAGTTTTCAGAAGACAGAATCGATCTAAACATGCAAAATTTTCACAACCACCACACATGAATCTGAGTATCCCCATCTCAATTAGTGATGTAATCCTCAGCAAGCATTCAGAAATCAAGTGCACACATTTCTAAGAAAACCAATTACAAGTGCTCTTAAATCTTAAACCCTAAACCCTAAAACCTGGGCTCTGTCATGTTCTGTCACTAAACGTCAAACGGTAATCCTGCCTTTGTATCAACCAACATCACCAACTCGTGCCAGAGTGAGCAAGCGTACAGAGCGTGAAAAACACCAACATCACTTGATCTTCATAGACTGACGAAAAAACTGAGCTAAATATTTGTGCACAGAAAACGGCGGCCAACACTTCAAATTGAGTACAAGTAAGCTTCAAGGCAACCTACAAACGGAACCGATAATAACTTCAAATTCACTCAGAATGGAATGTGCGTAAAACACTTCAAGGAATTACACGTGACTCTGATAATTTTTCAAATTGCGACAATGAAATAACTGAAATTTCGAAAGACAATACACCTGAGCAATCGAAGGAAACACATCGATCCAAACTTAAAAAGAGGGTGCGCTGAGATCAGCTTATGCAAAGCAATGCCCGTTCCCCTTGCTGTGTAACAAACATCAATGAGCTCCTCCTGCTGTTGTACATACTTCGAGGGACCAGTATCCAGAGATTTCTAAACCCGTGCTCCATCTGCATTCTTTTCAACCCACATGCTTCTTACTTCAGCTCTCAAGCCGGTACGATCTTAATCAGAAGACCTTCCCACGAATTCGTCAAACAAAGCGAGCATACAATTCAGAGGCTTGCTCAAAAACCCTCTATTCTACATCAATTAGAGCGCCTAAAATCTCGATCGGCAGCAGCGATCCAGTTGATTTAAGTAAAGCGTTGCGTAAACATTTCTAGATACAATTGCAGCCATCATATGCACGCTGTTACCGTAATTCCTGACTGAAGAATTTCTAAAGTGAAGCCACTGCCTCAGCGTTGTCCAGCAAACGGGGCCTGGCCAAGTGACGGCGACCAACGAACGAGAAATATACTTTTTCGTCAAAATATGGACGAAAACAGATCATCGGCGACCTTTCAATTTTTTCGATTTACAACAGTACTTTCTTATTTCCACACTAATTTTCGACATTACGAGGTCATCATAATTCTCATAATTTTCTGGAAAATGGAATTTTTTTAGGCATATATATATATATATATATATAAAAAAAACAAAGATCACATACATGAAATATTAAAAGGTTTAATTTTAAGAAAACATGCTTCAAAATAGAGCAAAAGAAATATACTATATATGTATGCATGTATAAATTTGTAAGTTTCTCTAGCTTCCAATAAGCATGTTTGGTTGGAATAAAGTCATCTTCCAAAAATATTGATGTAATTTCTTCTATTTAATAAATAAATATATTCATATACAAATATGCACATATAACATATATTATAACAAGGTATAAATAAGATATTTGTATTGTTGACACATGGAGATAGATAGTTGGAACCATGTTTAAAAAGTTATGGAAATTTTTAGAATTAGGGCTAGATTAGTGAACTATGTAGGATCTACTATAAAAACATTTTAGAAAGAGCTTAAGACAATTATCTAGGTAGGGCCTACTATGGAATCTTCTAGAAAGAGCTTAGGGCAATTATCTAAGTGAGATCCACCATAGAACCTTCTAAAAAGAATTTAAGGTAGTTATTTAAGTAGGATCGATTATCTAAGAATATTTTAGAAAGTCCAAGGTGATAAAACAAAGTATAAATAGGACTAGCCAAGGCCTTTTAAAGCATCTAGTTAAGTATGGCTTTAGACCTTTTTTCTTAGTAAAATTTGATTTTACAACTTCTTGTTCAGTTCTGTTTTTTTCTATTTCTATTTGCTTAGTTTTGTCTTTTGTGTCATATTCTGTTTAGTCTTGTTCAATTTTATTTTGGTCCATTTTGTCATACTTTGTGATGAGATTTTATGTTGCAGTGGATTAGAAGGGTCTTAGACTCTCGAGATAAACTAATCCTATTTTATTGGTATCAGAGCGAGTGTTAGATTCTTCTTTGGTAGTATGTCAATAGTCATTATTTAATTTGAGGTCAGTTATTATGGTCACACTAGATATTGTGTTGATGCTACCACGAGCTACTCTTAAAAAGTCAACTAGGAGATGAGAAGGCATTACAATAGTGGAGTCTAGTAGAAAATTTACAACATGGGAGATATGGCAGAGCAATCCCAGATAGAGGCTCAAATACATCACCTCTTAGGCCAAACAACTATTTTGCAAGGGCAAATAGAAGCCTTTAGGATAAAAGAGTCAACATCTACTAGGCTGAATTGAGTAAGCCTAGTACATATTCTAAGACTTTAAGGCAAAAAGATGTATGTCAATTGCTCTTCAACATGGGACAATGCCTCCAACTATTTGGAGCAAATACCACTTAGGGAATTATGTATGCAACCAACTATTTGAGAGATGTGACAACTATTTGGTGGCAACATTGAGTACAAAGCTATAAGCTCAAGGTAGATTTTGTAATTGGAAGGAGTTTGAGACCAAGTTTGGAAATTAATTTTTGCCAATCAATGCAGAGAAGATAGTACACGATTAATTGGCAAATCTTACACAATCTAAGTCAGTATAAGATTATGTCTTCCAATTCAAGTTCCTATATCTCTAAATTTGCAATGTTTCAAAAGAGGAGATGATAGATCAATTTCTATAAGATTTGAAACTTGGGATGTAGCGAGAAATAGAATTAAAGGATCTACAAATATTTGAATAGGCAATTAGGATTGCAGAGAAGATCGATGCTATAGATTTTAGAAATCATGGAGCATGACCCATAGCATGAAGTTCTATGTTGCTATCTAATACTATGGCACAATAATCAACATTAATAGAGATTGATGCCTTACAAGGATCATTGATATGACAAAGACGACAAATATTGGGATAAAAAGAATTGTGTTTCTATTGTTGAGAGTCAAGCTATTAGATTTGGAGATTGTCTAAAATGTCAAAATTCAAATACCAACAAAATGTCAAAATTCAAATACCAACAAAATCCATAGTTTCAAGACTCATCAAGTCAATAATAAGACAAAATAGGGAAATGAGACTCCCTAGTAAAGGCATTGAAGGCTAGTACTAGGAATAGCTATTGTTTTTCAAAGACAAATGGCATAGCCTTGGACAACTATAAAAAGAGTGAATTAATGTATCTAATGAGACTACAAAGAGGACAACGATGTCAAGTACTTGTGGATTGTAGCTCTACAAAAAATTGCATCTTGACCAAAATTATCAACTAATTTAGGATTAAAACTAAGGTAATCAAGGGAGGAATTACATACCTTGCAGATGATCAAAAGAACATATTGAGTGAGACATGTGAAGAAGAAACCTTGAGGTTGATTGACACCTACGTCTGAAGAGAGAGGTTCAAAGTAAAAAAACTAACATATGATATTATCCTTGGTTTGTCATGGCTAGTGGTAGAAAATAAGCAAGTTGATTGAATAGCAAGAACAATCTCTTTCAAAGATAGTGGACATAAGGTGACTCTTTGTAACTTTGCATCAAATGAAGAAGAAAAATAATTTGCAACTAAAGACTTACTCATAAGAATGATCTTTATGAAGAGGAAAATATAGTACAAGCAACCAATATATATATATATCTATATGGTGGTTTCAAATCTTGCATCAATGGTAGAAAAGACAATCAAAGGAATAAAATAGATAGAGCAACTCTTATAAGAATATTGAGATGTCTTTCCAATTGACCTACTTAGTAGTATGCTTTCTGATCAAGGTGCCTTATTTCAAATAGAACTATTGATTGAAGCTAAACCAACAAGTTGGCCAATTTATAACCTAACACCAAATAAACTTGAAGAGTTACAAAAGACATTGGACGAACTTTTGAAAAAGAACCTCATTTAAGAAAGCACATCACTATGGAAAGCATCTATACTCTTTGCACCTAAGAAGGATGGTAGACTTCGGCTTTGCATTGACTATCAAGGCTTCAATAACATATTATTAAAATTACATATCTACTTTCATATGTGGATGATCTTCTTGATCAACTTTGAGGTGCAACTATCTTTAACAAATTGGATCTTCAGAGTGGCTATTGGCAGATACTTATTACAAGAGAAGATATAAAAAAGATGGCATTTTGTATGTGCTATGGATATTTTGAATGGCTTGTTTTATCTTTTGGCCTCACTAATGCTCAAGCCTCTTTTATGGATTACATAAACAGATTGTTTTGAGACCTTTTGGATAAGTATGTAGTTGACTTCATTGATGATATTCTTATATATAATAAAATTTCTAAGGAGCATGAGCAACACCTTCAAGAAGTGTTGCACCAACTACAAGATAGTTGCTTCTATTGTAAGCAATAAAAATATAAACTTTGGAAGTCAGAAGTCATCTTTTTGGAATATGTAGTATCTTCCAAAGACATGCGCATGAAACAAGATAAAGTGAAAGTACCAGAGGATTGGCCAACTCTTAAGGATGCTTCTAAAGTCCACTCATTTTTAAGCCTTGCTAAATATTATCATCTTTTTGTTTAGCAATTTGCACACATTGTTGCCTCATTGACAAATCTATTTAAGAAAGGTACACCATTTAAATGGAAATTAGAACAACAAAGCACTTTTGATAGGTTGAAGGATGCATTTATTACTTCTTCAATATTACAATAGTATGATTCTATTTTTTCTTGTACAATTAATATTGATGCTTTCAACTTTATTATTAGAGCATTTTTTCAATAAGACTTTGATAGGGGCCTTCAATTTGTGGAATATGAATTATACAAGCTCAGAAGGGTATATTGGAACTACTCTACATGTGATCGAGAGCAATTAGCGATTGTACATGTTACAAAGGTGTGGTGATACTATCTGTTTGAAAAGCCAATGGTTATTTGAAATGACCATTGACTTTTCTTTATAATTTGCATATGAAAAATATGAAATTATGACATCATTATTAGAAAGAATAGTTGTAGCTTATTGATATCTAGCTTGAGTACAAATAAGGGAGACAACATATTGTGCTACACAACTTATCGCGGAGACCATACTTGAAGGCCAAATTGAGGGATAAGGCAGAAATTGCTACCATTAGTAATATCATTTCAAACCTAACTTAAGAAGTAGAATAGAAGGAAGCTATGGATCAGGATGCTTATTTCAAGATGGTTAGTAATCGGTTGAAAGTGGCAATATACAATATCAAGATTACAGTCTTAGTGATGGCTTGCTCTATTTTAAGAAGAAAATTTATGTACTTGACAATGCTATATTCTGGACGTGCATATCTCAAGAAAGACATGACATCTCAATATCTAGACATTTAGGGCAAGAGAAGATTTTAAAACGGATCTCAAGGACATGATTTTGGATAGATTTGGATTATAATATTTGAGCTTTTGTGTGCTTCTATGAGTCATGCCTACGTAGCAAGTTATGCAATGCAACATTTTTTATATTATTGCAACCAACTCCACTACATACATCATGTTGGAAGTAGGTGAGTATGAATCTCATTACATATTTGTTGTAGATGCTTCATAATCATATTGCAGTTATTGTCTTCATAGATCAATTCTTAAAGCAACTTTATTTGGTCATTGTGTACTTAGATATTAATGCTCCAGCACTTGCACATGTCTTCTTTGATATTATCTTTTGTTACTATGGATTACCTTGTGTCATTATTTCAAATTGGAATCTATGATTCATGGAAAGTTTTTGGCAAGCCTTGTTCAAGCTACTAGGTACATGACTTGCCATCTCTACAGCCTTCTATTTACAAACAAATGGATAAATAAAGCATATAAATTTGACCTTGGAAGATATGTTACAAGAATTTGTGATAGTTCATCATAATGACTTAGATGAATACTAATACCCTTGAAGTTTACTTATAATGATAGTAA